GGGGTAATGCTTCTTAAAAAAATGGGATGGAAGCCAGGTCAAGGGGTGGGGCCACGTCTTACAAAACAGGAGAAAAAACAAAAAAGTCAACGAAGAGAAAAAGTAAAAATATACGGCTGTGCATTACCAAATCAACAAAATAAATCGAGCGACAGTGAATCAGCAGGTTCTGATGACGAATATGCAAATATAACTTTTGCTCCCGATGATTATGAACCGTTCAGGTGTATATTTCAACTGACTTTTACGACTTTTATTGATTCAATTATAACATTTCACTGACAAATTAATCCATAAATTGATGAAACTGTTTTTAATCGCATAAATTTCTAGCAAAAATAGACATTATAATTAAAATAATGTAATTCGACGATAATTCTATCTAATGATATCGACATTAGAAAAATGAAATTACTTAAGAATATTTGTCAAAGTGTTACTATCATTAAAATGTACTAAATTTATAAACTATCGATCAATGTACTAAACATAATAACGTATTCGTTATTAAAGCAATAATTTGCTTATGAATAAACTGAAGAAGGAAAGGACCGATGTTATAATATAATTGTCGACTCATCACTTATTGCTCACTTCAATAAAAAGTTACTTTCTCGAAGACTACAATCGTGTTAAAGAGCAACACTTAAACATTAAACAAAATTTCTTTTAGCAAAATAAATAAGCCATTCTTTCCCAATAGATGCAATCCAAAAGACAATTACTTCGGCATCGGGTACAGCGGTCTCGACCGTCGGCCGATCCTCGGTGAGCACATAAATCTTTTTGAAACGTCAACGTTCAACCTACAAGAGAAGAACAAGAAGCTGTCGATTCGTGGTCAGGCCTTCGGTGTGGGCGCATTCGAGACCGAGGACGATGACATTTACGCAAGGGAGGACATGTCGCGTTACGACTTTGCCTTGGGCTCGCAGCGCAAATCCAAGAGCAGATGGTCGAAGGAGGAAGCGTCGAAGATGAGTAAGTGTCTCGAGGGTTTTGTGCTTAGTAAGGAGCAGCATCCGCCGTACAAAATTTTTGCTGCACCCGAACTACCAAAAGACTTTCAACCCATGCACAAGGTCAGAAAGAGCAGATTTTCACCGCTGGCCCAGGAGAGTCAGATGGCACGAAAAAGGTAGCGATTCACATTGAGCATAGTTTTCAATAGTAATTTGAAAACCAGTTGAAATTTTCATTAATTTTGAAGTATAAAAAATATCGTTAATCCTTATTGTATTACAAATTAAAAAGAAAAAAAAAAAAAAAAAACATGTATATATATATATATATATATATAAAATTTAATTTTTCATGAAGTCAATAAAGTCAATGAATATTTCATGAGCAATTCTTGCTTAATTAATGAGCACAGTTGAAATGAATTGTTTCAATTGTCTATATAGTAGGAAAATATCTTAAACATTACAATATCTACATTTTATTCAGATACGAAATGAATGCAGAAAGCAGATCCAAAATTATCAATGACGAGAGGCCTAGTATTATTGACTCTAAAAAAGTGGAACCGAGTAACAATAAAGTAGCGGTAAATTTAATTACTCGTACGTTGAATCTACATGGCAGAGAACAGAAAGCCGAGAGGCAAAAATTGGACGAAGTAAATGTAGCTAAGAAAACAAATATGTCCTGGTTAGACAAATTGTCTAAGACAACTTTCGTTAAAGGCGAGGTTATAGGTATGGAAACGAAGGTGAAAGGAATCGTCCACGATAAAAGTGCCTTTCTCAATGAAATAGATAAAACGGAGCCTAACAAGAGCACGAGCCTTTTGAAATTCTCATTCGGTGACCTTGATAAGCAGCGACGTTTCGAACAATATTTGAAATTTTCAGCAAACGAGAGGAAGCTGAAGCTTGCCGGTATTCAGCCGTTGTCAATGACCGATTGGGACAGAGATCAAGAAGCCCA